GCAGCATATCTCCCCGGAGATCGAGGTGGAGACAGTTAGAGAGCTGCTCCTCCATCTGGACAGTCACAAGTCCACGGGACCAGATGGGCTTCATCCTAGGGTGCTGAGGGAGTTGGCGGGGGTGATCGCTAAGCCGCTCTCGGCTATCTACCAGCGCTCCTGGTTGACTGGAGAGGTTCCAGAGGATTGGAGGCTTGCTGATGTGACTCCCATCTACAAGAAGGGCCGTAAGGAGGATCCGGGGAACTACAGGCCTGTCAGCCTGACATCAGTGCCAGGGAAGGTCATGGAACAAATCCTCCTGGGAGAGATCACACAGCTTGTCCACGGGATCAGGCCCAGCCAGCATGGGTTCATGAAAGGCAGGTCGTGTTTGACCAACCTCATCTCCTTCTACGACTGGGTGACCAAACTGGTAGATGAGGGAAAGGCAGTTGATGTAGTCTACCTAGACTTCAGCAAAGCCTTTGACATGGTCTCACACAGTATCCTTCTGCGGAAACTGGCTGCCCATGGCTTGGACAGTTTTACACTCCGTTGGATAAGGAACTGGCTGGAGGGCCGTGCTCAACAGGTGGTGGTCAATGGAGTGAAGTCCAGCTGGAGACCTGTTACAAGTGGTGTCCCCCAGGGGTCGGTACTGGGGCCCATCCTGTTTAATATCTTCATTGATGACTTAGATGAAGGGATTGAGTGTACCCTGAGTAAGTTTGCAGATGACACCAAGTTGGGAGGTTGTGTCGATCTGCCTGAGAGCAGGGAGGCCCTGCAGAGGGATCTAGGTAAGCTGGATCGCTGGGCTGAGATGAATGGGATGAGGTTTAACAAGGCCAAGTGTCGGGTTCTGCACTTTGGCCACAACAACCCCAGGCAGCGTTACAGGCTTGGGGATGAGTGGTTGGATGATTGTGAAGAGGAAAGGGACCTGGGGGTGTTGGTTGATGCTCGGCTGAACATGAGCCGGCAGTGTGCCCAAGTGGCCAAGAGGGCCAACGGCATCCTGGCCTGCATTAGAAATAGTGTGGCCAGCAGGAGCAGGGAGGTGATCATCCCCCTTACTCAGCACTGGTGAGGCCGCACCTTGAGTACTGCGTTTAGTTTTGGGCCCCTCACTACAAGAAAGACATTGAGGCCCTGGAGCGTGTCCAGAGAAGGGCAACGAAACTGGTGAGGGGTCTGGAGCACAAGTCTTATGAGGAGCGGCTGAGGGAGCTGGGATTGTTCAGTCTGGAGAAGAGGAGGCTCAGGGGAGACCTCATTGCACTCTACAACTTCCTGAAGGGAGGTTGTGGTGCAAAAGGGTCTGGCCTCTTCTCCCAGGCAAATAGTAGGACCCGAGAAAATGGTAAGAAGTTATACCAGAGGAGGTTTAGGTTGGATATTAGGAGAAACTTTTTCTCTCAGAGGGTGGTCAGGCACTGGAATGGCTGCCCAGGGAGGTGGTGGAGTCGCCATCCCTGGTAGTGTTCAAGAGGCGCCTGGATGAGGAGCTACGAGAGATGGTTTAGTAGCTTGTGGCACTGATAGGAATGGGAGGGTGGTTGGACTAGATGATCTTCCAGGTCGTTTCCAACCTTGTGATTCTGTGATTCTGTGTGATTCTGTGGAGGTATTACTATAGAGCACAAAAGGGAAAGTGACAAGCATGGTGTGTGGCACTGACATTTTGGTGGTGAAATGTTTCAGAAAAAAACATCACATCAGTGGAATGAAAATCAGTGCAATTAAATAAATAAGTCAATTCCACAAAGATGAATCAGCTAGTGGCTGAGAAAGATGTGCTGAAAGGAGAATGGCTGCAAGACAAATATAATTGTGCATTATTTTTTTCTTTTTCTGATGCAAGGATTGGTTGATACAGCTCTGTAAAGGCTGTAGTCTCCCACCAGAACCACCAGATAAAATGCTGTTTGGTATGAGACAAAGGAGAGGTTGTGGCTGCTTTGCAGCCCCCATTATCATTGTGGGTTGTTCCAACCTTGCCTTTGCATACATAAATGCTAAATAGCCAAATCAGGAGAAGTCTTGTTTTATCAGAGCATTTCCTTGAACATATTAAGTCTCAAATATTTTTCCCAAATTTGAAGCTTTTCTAAGCAACAAATGTTCATTTAGTCAAAGCATAGAGACCACCAGCCACAATTTTCTGTTACTTCTGCAATGTGGGCTGAAGTAGGAATTTTATCCAGTCATTTATTTACCCTGTGCAAAACCCACTCTGCAGTAGCAAATCATCTGTGCGCCACCATTTCTCTTTAGTCTTTAAGCCAGATATTATGCAATGAACAATATCACTCTGCATGCTGAGGATTCTGAAATTTGGGACTATTTAACCTTCTACTTGTCTTAATTACTACATTTTTTTTATAGGCAGTAAAATCAAAGAAAGTTCTACAAAATTTCGCCCTTAGAAAACTAAAATCAGCGCTTACTTGCACAAAATTAGCAGTAGCATTTGGATCATTTGCAATCTGGTGGTTTTTGTTTTCAGGGAGATATCTGGGGAGATAAGGTGACTAGCAGAAAATAAATATTCTGCACCTCTTCAGGAGAGTCTGTCTGCAGTTCTTGCAATATTCCACATCCTAATTTAAGTCTTTCTTTTTAGAAAGTATAAATACTGGAGAATTTATAGCTTTTATTTTAGCTCTTGTATTCCTTCCACTAAGTATTCCACAGCAAACACCACGTCTATGTCGAGCCTAACCTTTGGAACCCAGCTTCCATACAACCTTACCAGCAAGCTATACAAAATATACACAGCATAATGTTTTCAAAGACTGATGTAAATGGGCCTCAATGGAGACGAATTTCTTTGTAACTTTTTGTCTATAGACAGTAGAAAACATCCTTAAAAAAATACCGCAGTGCCACCGGTCTGTGAAAAAGCCAAGATTAACATTAGCTTGATCACTGTCATGAACTCACAAATAGACAGCAAGTAACCAATTTGCAGGTAGCAATTTATAGATCTACAGTTAAAGTGCAAGATACACTTAAGTGCCCATAAAAGGAAATTGAAAGGAAAGATTAATTTCTTTCCACTAAAGGGAGATAAATCTGGTGCAAGGTTTGGGTTTGTTGAAAGCTTGTTTACCGAAAACAAAGAAATATGTTTTGTTCCAGCTTTGTGTTATATGTTACTGAGTCACACCAAGCAATTCCTCTCTTTCTCGACACGTTTTTATAATTGCGACATTATGCTAGTGCTTCTATTAGAAAAAGAACAACGTGCCCACTATCAGAAATGTGAAAATATATAAACACCAAAGTTTGAAGAACCTGGTCTGGAAAACTGGCCCATACTATTACTGAGTTGCTCTTTATCTATGAGAATTATGTTTGCAGTACCATGAATGGAAATATAAAAATAGTTGTAGCTGCCCACAGCTACCAGATGACTGATGGTTTGTTATTCTGTGCCATTCTCCTGCTTTGTAAAGACTTTCTTATCTAGAAACACATTTCTGTTTAGGCAGAGATGCACAAAAAACCTTGTTGTACCAAGAAAAGAATCAAGCTTAAACTATATATACCTTGAGGTTTTTGTTCATCATTCATTGCACACCAAAAAAACCAACAATCCAAACCCAGAATAAAATAAAAAAGGACCAGATATCTTTCTCTGAGTTATGATTGAGTTAATAACAATTGCTTGTAAATAATGTTGTAAAGCTATTTTAATTTATTTACTTAGTCACTTTGATTTATTATTTTTTTTGTACTTGTCTTGTTTTTTGTATCGGCTGTAACTTGCCAAAATTGAAGATGTGATGTATCTGGGCAAGAAATTTATTTTATCTTTCAGATCTGCCCAGTGCCTGCCTTAATAACTACTTGGTCAGGGTCCTTATGCTTTCCTATAGTGGGACCAGCTGAGGTGTATGGAAGAGACCTGGGAGGTAGATGAACTTTGTCACAGTTTTGTGATTTTTGATTTTCGGTATTCCACATCATAACATCACGTGGGACACTGGGAGTCTAACTCTTAATGCTCAAGTCCTGGGTACCTGCCCAGAAGAGAAAAAGAACTACATTCCCCAGGGGACTTTGCAGTCAGGGAGAGGAGATTTAACTCCTTGAAAGTTCACCTGATGCTCTTTTTCGCCTGCTCTTCGTCGTGGGCGCTGCTCCCGTCTTCCTGCTGCTCAACTGGCCTGTGCATCTCACCTCAGCACTGTGGTGAAGCCTACCTACCCTTTCGGACATTCTCTCTCTCATTATATTTGATTTATTAGCTTCAATTCTGATTATATTGTATTATGCTGTATTATGTATTATATTGTGTTATCTTGCATTTCAATACTATATTTAGTAAATTAGTTTGTTTCTTCTCAGATCAGTGCTGCTGTTTTTAATTATTTTGGGATCCCCTGTTTCCTTTTTTTCTGGAGGTGCGGATCCTCAGATCCCTCTGCCCTGCTCGTCACGGAACCAGGCTGAACTAGCCCGTAAACCGTCGACAACTTTCAGGTGAATCTGCCACTAAGCTTCACACATGGAACCCACACAGAGATGTACTGACACAGAGATATATTTGCCTAAACTCACCTGTTGTTAGCCATTTACACCTAGATTGAGGAAAAGACAGATAGGGAAGCTGTTCACTTTTTGATTGTCTGGTGGCCATATTGGATGTTGGCAACAGTTCCAATGATTTACAATAACTTCAGGATCAGGATGAACAAATATCCTCTCTCTTTTGCCTGTATGGCCCCTCTTTGGACAAAATATTGGAATCTCTTAAGGAGAAGTTTATGTGGTAGGAGTCATGTACCCAGGCACTGGACAAAACTTGTATGCATAGCAACAGTTTTATTTGCAGTTACATATATATTTATCTCTACATATATGAATATATTAATTATATATTAAAAATGCCAACATTTGGATAAGGTTTTTAAATAAAGGCCACAACACTCTACTTTTCTGGTAGTAAGATTCTCCAAGAAGAAAGCTAAAAAGGGCAACATGAGTGAGGATATCTATTGTATACTTACTGCAAGGAAGATCTGAAGAGAACTGTGAGCCACTTCTATGTACTGATACTCAAGAAAACACCCCGAGACAGTGATATAACGATGATCCTCTGGAGCCCAGTCTGGGGCTGGTGTTACTGAGGTCACGGTGCATCCTGGTCCATTCTCCATCCACCATGAACGATGCATTGAGATATTAAATGTCAGAATGAGATCTGTTTCCTGCAAAACAATGTGGGAGGAATTAATTTTGGGATGGTACTCTGGTACTAAATGTCTCAGCTAGAGATTTCACAGTACACTTAAAGAAGAAAAGAACACCAATAAAATCATACCTTCACATGAAAATCAGCTGAGTTTGCCAGCAAGAAATGCAAGTAGCTGCACCTTGACAGGCAGATTTTTTTTGAAGCAGAAGAATAATTCTTGAAGCCAGGATCTGCTCCCAAACATTATACTAATCTGTACCATACAGTCATTTTATATTGATTATTATCCTATGGGAAACCACAGGGACTGATGGACATGCACATTTCACAGCAACCCTCCTGTGCTCATTTGGCTCATATTTTGCTGGTGCAATCTACCAAACTGTACAAGAGTCCTCAATATCTGAGACTTTACTATGTGTAGATCATATGCAGTTTTTCTCACATGGACTTTGCAAAGCAGAATTCTGCCAACTCTGCCGGAATATTGGAGAAGGATAAGAAAAAAGATTCTGTACAGCTGATTAAAAGCACTGCTTCTCTGCAAAGCTTGTCTTAGTCTTCTAATTCTGTGTAGAAATCTGTACGGAAACAGCTGCTATGTGTTGCCTTGTCTAAAGACTTCTCAGCTTGTTAAACAAAAGGGAAAAGAAGCCTGCAACCTTCAAGTCTTGTGCAGCTGATACAAGGGAGCTAGTGCAAGAGATTCAGACATGCTCTCAACTAAGATTGCATTTATGAATAGTTCATAAAGGATTAATGAATGATTAATATACATCATAAATAATACTACAGATATGACTTTCATAAATTATACTTGGTTGAACATTACTTGAGGGTACTATACATAGTTATAACAAAACTATGAACTTTGCGGATTCTGTAATAGCCTACAGTATTTACCAACTCTTCATAAATTATTTATGTGTAACCTCATTGTAAAGTGTGACTATCTTGTGCACATGTGCTCAGTCATGCAAAAAAAATTGCTTTTAAGTAGTGTCTTTGCAGAGTCAAATTCTCCCCACACCTAACCTACTTTTTTTTCCAGTGTTGATGACATTAATAATTAAAATTATCATAAAAATTTAAAATGTAACTATTTAATTAGGCTTACCAAGACAAAAGGAAAAGAATGCCATGCTATAGCTGATATGCTGTGTCCAAATTTCCCTTCCTTCAGAAAAAGAATTTTTTCAGTTTCACATATTTTTCCTTTTTGTACTACTTCAAACAAAAGTAACTCGATAGAGATTTCAGAGAGATTTCAGAAAACAACATGACTGACATATCAATTGATCTGTGATTATTCTATAGCACAGCTGATTTTTTTTTTAAGTTCAAGTTCCTAATTACATGCAGAATTTTGGTACATCAAAAAAAAATCAATGACTACCCTTCCCAAGCACATCCACTTAACAGATGGCAAGAAGGACTATAAATATTTTTGTGATTTTGTGATTCTACATCCACACAGCAGCATGATCCAGCAATTAATGTGCTCTGTGAGTAAATATGTATCTTTCAATTATATGAATTGTCACAACTAACTTCAGACATTTAAAGATGATTAAAGCAACCATGAACTTATGGATAAACAACCCAAATTTTTCAGAAATTGATATATTTACATATGGCCACAAGCTTTCATACACAATAAACTTTTCCTTTCTCTGTGCCTCTCTGCAGCAAAGCTGCTAGTCTAGTGCCTGCCTATTGTTTCTTGCAAATGAGCTTTTTTCCCCCAACACTCAATCCAGAAGACTATTTTTATTTCTGTACTCAGGGCTGTTAGAACTCCTCAGTTGTACACTGGCCTTTTAACCTTGCATAAGAAGTTGAAGAATTAGTATATTTGGAGCAACTTTGGTTTAAGACATCAACTTATTCCTGAATGAGGAAAATAAAACTCCATCACATATTCATAGAAGACCTTTAATTCATTCTAGTTGGAAAATTCTTAACCTCCAGTCTCTTATCAGAGCAGCAGCATGAATGAATAGAACTTACTGGCATTCTTTATTTTATTATTTGTGATACCTTCAGAAGAGTCACGATGAACTAAAAAGTGCAGACGTAGTATGAAATACGTATTGCCTAAAAAGGAAAGGGATTAGCTGGCTGGAAGGAACCAGTTATTTGTTACGCATCTGCTAGATGATGTTAAAAGGGAACAGGAGGAGCTAAGCAAAGATCAAAACTAGTCTCTGTGATTAGAATATTCTAATTCTTCTAAAGACAGCTACATTTGCTTACACAGGATGCAGTAGACCAAAACTTTACAGGTTAAAAACACAAGTGCGAAGTAGATATAATCACACGTTGAAATACTTATAACACTTATATACTTATAATTAGGTATGTAAATAAACTTCACAACATCTTGCTTTCTTACATCCCAGAATTAATGCCCAGTTGATTTTCTGAAATAATCCACAACATTTAGAAAATTCCACTGCCCTCAAAACATCATTTCAAAATTAAGTTGTATGCTGTGACAAGACTGTTTTGTCCAATAATAGTCTTTTAGTGCTAATAAGTTGTCCAATAATAGTCTTTTAGTGCTAACAAGAAAAAAAAATCCTAGTGCTAGCAATTTAACGCTAATAAATAAAAAAATCCTATAGTCTACCAGATCTATATTTTATTCCTGTCTTTGAGCACCCAGTAAAATACTGCATTATTCCCTCTGCTCAAAAAATAGTCTAGATACTTGTCACAGTCTTATGTCTCTTAATTCCTGGTACTAGTAAAAACAAATCTTTCTGGTTGCAGCTGAAACAGTGTTAATAGCACACCCATACTTGTTGCTGAAGGGCTGGGACACATGTGGGACCAAACCAGGTTACTTGACAGGAAGAGCCACTGCCTTTATGGCACAGCAACAGTAGGCAGGGCAGAACTGAACCAGGACAGGTGGGTGTTCCATACTGCGTGACATCATGCAGAAGGTCATAAAGGTGGTGAGCACTTGCATTGTGGATATATAAGTATGCATAGTTATCATCACATTCTTGTTTCCCTTTATTTATTATTTTTTTTTTTAAGCCTTAGAAAGTATTTTTTATGTCAATGCATGAGTTCTATTTCCTTTCCAGTTCTCTCCCTCGTCACACCTGGAGGGAAATGAGCGAATGGCTACATGGTGCTGAGCTGTTGCCAGGTTAAACCACAACACAAATCCTGCTGAAAGCCCACACTTCAAATCTTAACTCTGAATAACGTGGCTGAAAAGGCTATCAAGCAGGGTTGTTATTATGTACTGAATTACTTAATAAACAAGGTAAACTTTAGAAAGCAAAACAGTAAGTGGAGACAAACTCTGGTTGTGGCAATATTAGGCATCATTCACTTCTAAGGGCAAATTCAATGACCAAGTCAGATTTTCAAAAACAAGCATAAGTTAGGTCCTGAAAATTCGTATTTCCAAAATACGCGGGATAAGTATAGATGCAGACGGAGCCTATTTACTACAGCATCAGCTGCCACAGTCAGATCATTCAAAATATAAATTGGTATGTACTCTGATCTTGCCTGTAACCTCTAAACCATGTATGCACTCATACGCGCTCATATTAGTAGACCATTTCCTGTGTTTTAGTAGTGAAAGTCACCCAACTTATGAAAAACTCACAATGTATCAGGAAAACAAATGAGAGAACTCTGTGAGCCAAAGAGAGCATGATGTATCTGTCATTAACATCTTTTGCACTGAAAAGATTTAGAACTATTATTTGACAAATTCCTCCTGCCATTTACTCTGTTCACTGTTTGAATACAGTTTTAGTGGACATAGACTAAGTCTACAATGGAAGTAGAGGATTTTCTGTACTCTCCTGTGTAATTGCCGTCTGTTTTCTTTTCAACATCTGTGGCTCAAACACTGCCCAGGGAATTGCAGAGAAATGGTCTAATAAGCCTTGAAGCTATGAAACACAACAGGAACTGTTGATACGTATTGGGCATGCCAATATGATGACGTTCACAGTTTGTATGTCAAAGAAGATTTCACTAACTTAAATTCAACAAACAGCTGCTTCCTTCATGAACACAAAAATGCATCTGTATGAGCTTTACGGATGATCACTATGATGGTTTTGTAAATCCTGCTGATATTTGTAAAGCCTGTTAATGAAAATTGGTGCATTAAAATAGATTTCGCTATTCACTGAGGAGTGAAAATTCAGAGGAAAATATTTAGTAAGGCATGTTTGCTAACACTCAAGATGTGTTGATATTTGTAATGGTTATGAGCTAGACAAAGGCTGGAGTTTGGAGGTCTCAGAGGCTCAGATGTCAAAAAAAAAAACAAACAGAAACTGAGACCTCTTCCAATTAAGTCTCTAACCTTATTTATTTTAGGATGGTTTGTGTAAAAAAAACCTTGAGCTTTGATGATTATTTTGGTACACACAATGTATAACAACTTCTCCTGGAGTCAACTGAACAGTATATAACATTCTGTGGATGAGGACACCTGATGAAAAAACATGGCAATATAAGATTTTGTGAGAGTTGCCAGAAATGAATACAACTTTCTTTGCATTAAAGAGCAGCAGGAGGCCTGCAATGCTCACAATGAAGATATGTAGTAGTTACAAGGAAACACTGTTTTAATTATTTTATTAGTGCTCTGGTGCAGTTTACAGATGCTGATTCCAAATACAATGCCAAGAGGAAAGAAAAAGCAGCGATTCAGTATGACCCTCTTTGAAAGTCCGTAAGGCACTGCGGGCACAAGGAGTTTGTACTGATTTCAGTGGTTGTGGTTTGCTATTCCTTGGGAAGCAAGCTGTCTCCGTTTTTTCTAATTAGGAATTGATAAAATCTGTGCAAACATGCCTGGATTCTGGACAAGCTTTTTCAAATAGAACCGTGTAACCACTTTTTTCATTTTTCATTCTCAATCTAGCAAGAAGAGACTGTTTGAAGATTGAATGATCGCACAAGGATTCAGTGAAGATCATGGTCTGAAAGCACCTGTAGTTGTGGATGCCTCAGATGCACAGGTCT